ATAAATACGGCTTTTTACAAGATAGTTCCAGGAAAACATTCTAGAGGAAAAGGGTGACTCAAAGGCCATTGGAGCCCATCGTAATGTTATCCATGTTATGGAGCTTGTGTACAATCTCTGACATCAGTGATCATATGCTGTGTTTATTTTCCCCTCTTCCTTTTTCCAATATATTGTCCATGTAGACAGCTGGCCACATGAAGACCTCAGAAAGACATTTATTTCATTTCTAACTTACCTACTTTTTTCCCACTGAGCTTTTTTTTTTTTTCTTCAGTACCAGGGATTGAACTTGGGACCTTGAGCTTGCCAGGCCAGCTCTTATTCTACTAAGCTATCTCCCCAGCCCCCAACTGAGCATTTTGAAAAGAAGTGCTCAAGGGCCTCATATGAGGAGACTAATTTTATCAGATATTCAAGCAAATTATAAAGTAAAATAATGAAAGTAATTCGGTCCTGGAGAAGGGCCAGACAGACAGTGGTTCGACAAAGAGACCCAATTTAAATAGGAACTTAATAAGAAAGGTAGCACTTCAAAATAGCTGGCAAGTTTCTAATTACTGATAGAAGAACTAGTGAATCATGGGCGGGAGGAGGGAAGCTGGCTCTTACTCCACTTGGATCCAAGACTTTATATAAAAATCACAAAAGTATTCTTTTTTTTTCTTTTTTTAATATTTATTTGTGTGTGTCTGTGTGTGGCCAGCTCAGCCCACCAGGGGGCGGGGCTGGCTGGCATGTGTTGCTGGGGGATTGAACCGCGGTCCCTGTGCTTTGCTAAGCTTGTTCTAAGTAGGTGCTTTAGACCACTGAGCCATCTCACCAGCCCCTCCCCACAAAAAAAAAAATATTCTTAAAAAGGGCTCCCATGTTGGGTGTGGTGGTGCGCAAGTAGAGTTCCAGCTACTTGCGAGGCTGCGATAGGGTCACTTGAGCCCAGGGTTTTGAGACCTGAGTAACACAGCAAAATCCCATATCCAAACAAAACCCAAACCAAAACCAACCAAGCCAAACCACACCACACCACACAGCAAACCAAACCAAACCTTAATATTTTAATAGTTCTGAATTGGTAAAAGAAATTTGGAAGAGGATTTGTACAAATCAGCACAAAGACTACAAGAAAATCAAATATAGGAAATTGTTAGTCCATTTTAGGTATATATATACAATGATTACCTCATCGTGGGGACTTGGAACCTGTACCTGACAGACCTTGCTCCCCGCCCCCCCATTCCCCGACCCTCCTTATTTACAGCTTTTCATTTTCTTTTCTCTTCCTTCCTTTCCCCCTCTTCCTTCCCTTCGCTCCATGTGAATATTTTCTTCCTGTTTCATATACATT